ACCAATCGTGACCTAAGCAAACTTTACGCACCGCCCCCTCCCCCTCATCTTCCTTTCCCACTCCCTACCTCCTGACGCCTTGTCCTCTCCTGCTCCTTCTCTTCACCCTTTACTCTCCCCTCCATCCTCCATCCCTCCCTTCATTCCTCTCCCTTATCCTCCATCTATCTCCCTTCCTTCTTACCATCCTTTATTTCCATTCCTCTCATCTTCCCTTTTATTTTCCTATCTCTTCGTCTTACCTTTTGTATTTTTAGTCCCTTGTTTTCCTGTCTTCCCCTCCTCTTTCCTCCTTTCCCTCCCTTTTCCCCCTCTTCCTTTGTTACCTCATTTCTTGTCATTCCTTCCCTCATTTCTTCCTTCGTTCTCACCCCTTCCCTCTTTCCCTCCTTCCGTCCATCCTTCCTTCTTCCGTATAATCTTTTCTTTCTTTTCTTTCCCTTCCTCCTTTCCCATATCCCAAACCTTCTCACCTCTTCCCTCTTCCTCCCTTTATCCTTTTTTTTCCATCCACTTTCCCCTCCTTCCTCTTCCTCCCCTCCTACTTCTTCCCTTTCTTTCCTCTTCTTCCTCTCTTCCCTTTTTTCCCCATGTCCCTCTCACTCCTTCCTCTCCCCCTCCCCCTTTCCCTCCTCCTCCCTCCACCTTCTTCCCTCCTTTCCCTCCCATCTTCTTCCCTCCTTTCTCTCCACCTCTTCCTCTTTCCCTCCCACCTCTTTCCTCTTCCCCTCCCACCTCTTCCCTCCCTTTCCCTCCATCTTCTTCCCTCCTTCCCCTCCCATCTCTTTCCTCCTTCTCCCCTCCTCCCCTTCTTCCCTCCCTTCCCTCCCTTTCCCTCCTCCTCCCACCTCTCCCCTCCTTCAGGCACTACGTGAGTATTTACCCGTTCGCCCCTTCTGAAGACACGAGGGCGCCTTCGTCAGGACACGCCCATACCCCCGCCCGCCCATGAACAGCTTTCAAGTGGTAGGAGGTCTTCCCCTCTCCCCCCCCCTCCTTCCCTCTTCTCCCTTCTCTCCTCCCCTCACCTCTTCCTCTCTCCCCTTCCCCCTCCTTCCTCCTCCCTCTCTCCCCTCCCCTCCCTCTCTCTCCCCCTCTCACTCCTCTCCCTCCCTCTCTCTCACCCTCTCCCTCCTTCCCACTCCCCTCCCACTCCCCCTCCTCCCTTCCTTCCCTCCCTCCCTACCCCCCCCCTCTCCCACCCCCATCCATTTCCTTCCCTCTCACCTACCCCTTCCCTCCTCCTCCCCTCCTCCCCCTCCTTTCCCTCCTCTTCCCCCATTCCGTCTTTCCAAGGGGGGGGGGTGTTAGGGAAGGGGGACTGGTGAAGGAGTGGGGATATGGGAAGGGGGAGAGGAGGGAGGGAAGGAAGGAAAGTGGAGGAAAGGAGGAAAGGAAGAAAAGGGAAGAGTAGGAGGAGAAAGAGAGACAGGATAAAGATACGAAAGCAAAAGAAAAAGAAAAAAGAAAAAAAGATTAACTCCAAAAGAACATAAAAAAAAATTGAAAGACAAGAAGACAAAGGACAAAAAAAAAAAAAAAAAAGTGAGATGAGGGGGGACGGATCTTGGCGAGGGAGGGAGGGAGGGAGGGTGGCGGGGAGGGGAGAAGGGGAGGAGGGGGAGGAGGAGGGGGAGGTTAGGGGGCGTAGGATAGGATGCGGACAAGGAGGAGGATTTCCGTGTAAGACTCCCTGTGTTAGCTCCTCCTGCTCCTTCTAACCCTGTGGGGAGGTGGGCACAGGTCGGGGCCTCGTGACTTGCGTCCTTTTTGTGGTTATGCTAAAAATGGGACAGTTGCAAAGGGAGGGAGGGAGGGGGAGGAAGGAGGGGAGGAGGGAGGGAGGGAGGGGGGAGAGGGAAGGAGGGAGGGGAGGGAGGGGAGGGAGGGGGAGGGGAAGAGGAGTGGGGGAGAAAGGGAGAGGGGAGGAAGGAAGGGAGGGGAGGGGAGGGGGAGGGAGGGAGGAGGGAGGGGAGGGGAGGTGGAGGGAGGGAGGTGTGTTTGAGGGGGAAGGTGATGAGGAGTGGGGGGAGGGGAAGGGGGAGGAGAGGAAGGAGGGGGGAAGGGTTGAGGAAGGGTGAGAGGGGAGGAGAAGGGAGGAGGGGTGAGGGAGAAGAGTGGAGAAGGTGAGGGGGAAGAGAGGAGGTGAGGAAGGAGGGAGAGAGGGGAGGGAAAAGGAAAAAAGGGAGGAGAGGTGAGGGAGGAAAGGAGGAGGGGGAGGGGGGAGGAAGGAATGGGAGAAGGTGGAAGGGGGGGGGGGGAGGAAGGAAGGGTTAATGAAAAGAGGATTAAGAAAAGGGGACAGGAGGAGTGGTAGAGGGAGGGTAGATGATGGGGAGTGATAAGGAGAAGATGGGGAGTGGGGAAAAGTAGATAGGGAGGGAGGGTGAGAGTTTGGGGGGAGGAAGGAATTAAGAAGGAAGTAGATACGGAAGAAGGGAGGAGTAGTGTCAAAGATGGGAAGAGAGATAGATAGAGAAAGAGGAGAAGAAAGTGAGGG